TGCTGTCAAGAGGGAAATAGTGTTAAAGAATATAATATTCTGTCCTTTCTGAAAGAAAGAAAAGAATGAATACTAATAGATATACATATGTAAAAGAAAATAAGCATGTGTCATTTGTACAAAAGAAATTCATAAAAGATAAACCAGAAGGAAATTAATTTGATTACTTATGGGGTCTGGGTGTGAATAGGGCAGTAGGGATGAGAAGAAAGTGAAATTTCTCTTGACCATGTATGTTTTATGTTATTCTGACTCTTAGAACCTGGTAATATTTTTTATATCCCTCAATTAGTTGAAAAATTAAGGTCAACCAGTATGTAGACCAACCCATACTGAATAAAAACAGTAGCTAGTGAATCTAACTGTATTACAAGTGAATGAGTAACGCCTACTCAGAAAAGGGGTCGGGATGGGGGGAAAAAAAACAACTAAAGCTAAGTAACATGGAAGAACAGCATTTTGACTCTATAGTATATGTTGTTATGTGTGATAGAGTCGATTCTGACTCATAGCGATCCTGTATAGGGCTTTTGAGGAATGGCTGGTGAATTTGAACCACCAACCTTGCCATTCAAACTGATCTTTTGGTCCAGTGCTTATCCTACAGCACAGCACAAAAACAACTGTAAATTAATACTCGAGTTTGCTACAGAGAGATGGATTAGTAGTCCTGTAACTATTTCATGTGAATATTAAGTCTGTTAACTACATGTGACTATTAAGAGTAAATAAGTAAATCCATTATGGATAATGGGAACCAGATTTCTCATTGTAAGGGGTAAGTAGTTATAATAAGGAAAACAAAGGCTTACATAGATAGAACCTTTTGGTTTTGTTGTTTGGTTATCATGTCGGTACTGACTCATAGCGACCCTATGCACAACAGAACGAAACACTGCCTGATTCTGGCCCACCCTCACAATTGTTGTCATGCTTGAGCCCATTGATGCTGCCACTTGCCAATCCATGTCGCTGGGGGTCTTCCTCTTCTGACTCTCCACCTTACCAAACATGATAACCTTCTCCAGCGACTGGTCCCTCATGATAATATGTCCCAAGTATGAGAGAGGAAGTTTGGCCATCCTGGCTTCCAACGAGCACTCTGGCTGTACTTCTTCCAACACAGATCTGTTGGTTCTTTTGACAGCCCATGGCACTTTCAATATTCCACTTCAACACCATAACTCAAAAGCATCAATTCTTCTACTGTCTTCCTTATTCACTGTCCAGCTTCCACATGCATATGAAGTTATTGAAAATACCATGGCTTGGGTCAGGCACACCTTAGTCCTCAAACTGACGTCTTTGCTCTTCAATACTTGAAAAAGGTCTTGTGCAGCAGATTTGCCTAATGCAATACGTCGTTTGATTTCTTAACTGCTTCTTCCATGGGTGTTGATTGAAATTAGAGAAAACAGCATGAGATTCATCTTTATTTATAGGTATAGATAGATAAATAGTTAGATGTATGTTGAAATACCACGTGCTTAGGTGTGTGCACACTCATATGCATAAATATATTTCCTATCTCTATTTGCTGGGAGAGCCTAGAAGCAATAGCGTAGCCCAGTAGTAATGAAAACACCAGGCAGAAAGATCGTGGTTTCTAAATACCATTCTTCAATAAAAGGAACATAGTGTTCTTGGGGAGAAATAAATTATTCCAGGGCCAGGGCAGAGAAAATACAAACTGAACTCTGGAACATCTTCTGGACCCAGAAAGTATAAAGAAGTGCTCTAAAAATGACAAAAACATATTAAAAAGATATAGGACCCAATTTGAAGTGTATGTGTTTGTTTGTATGTGATTCCTAATTGCCAAATCTGATATAACTTTCGTAACAAATAATTATAGTAATAGGTTGTAACATAAAGTAAAATATATTAGTCTATACTGATACAAATAATTGAATAGATGTGGGGGCACCTCTTTAGTAGGAGTCAGAATCAACTGAATAGCAGTAGGTATAAGGAATGATGTTGTTATTTGTTAAGTGCCATTGAGTCAGTGCCAACTCAGCCACCCTGAATATAGGGTTTGTAGGAAGTAGCTGATGGATTTGAAGCACCAGTCCTGTGGTTAATAGTCCAGTGCTGATCCTACGGCACTAAACCAGGAATTATAGAAGTAAAAAGTCACCACTTGGCAAAAACTACTGCACTGTTGCAAGTGAGAACCATAGATGCATATTAAAATTAGTGGGTGAAAGTCTGATTATAAGAAATAGAGCATTTACATAGCCTTGTAGTATCTCTCTACAAGGTGCTTAATAATAGTGGAGAATTCTGGTAGACACCATCTTAACCAAATAATCCAACTCAACATTAACAGTAATGGACATAATTAGGTATATGGATTTCCTGCTGCAATGTACTGAAAAGTTCTTGAAAAAATCCGTTCTTGAAATATTTAACTTTCTTATGTTTATCAGTCTGATGTTATCTTATTTAAAACTGCATTTTTCTGATTTCTAGAGATACACACCTTTTCACCTTTTACATTATGTATTGGTTTTTATATCCATTGCCTATTTTTCTGCCTATTTTTTAAGTAGTATTATTGTACTCTTCATTTTGATTTGTGCTGTTTGGCTATGTTGAAGACATTTTCCCCATCTCAAGGAAATATTCTCCTACATTTTCTTCACATACCTTATAATTAAGTCTTTAATACAGTTGGCACTTTAAAACAACAACAACAATATGAGGTATAAATTCAACTTTGTTTCTCAGTATAATACAACTTGCTTTTTAAGTAACTTTTTGTTACTAGTGTTTGGCAGATATGTTTTAACATTTATTATGGTAACTTCACAAGGTGGTCTTCCTAAAATATAAACCTTATCATTTCACTTAAAATCATTCACTGGTTCTCCATTGTCTGAGAATAGAGTCTATAGATTTTCACATGTTAAGAACATCTTTCTGAAGTACTTTCAGCATATTTTGCCCACTTTGCCACCAGGGCTCCTTAAGTCTCCCTTGTTGTTGGTATGTGCTGCCCATTTGGTTCCAACTCATAGCGGCCCCGTGCACAACCCAGTGAAACACTGCCTGGTCCTGTGCTATCCTCACAATTGTTATGATTGAGCCCATTGTTGCTGCCACTATGTGAGTCCATCTCGTTGGGGGGGTCTTACTCTTTCGTGCTGACCCTCCACTTTATGAAGCATGATGTCCTTCTCCAGGGACTGGTCACTGCTGACAATATGCCCAAAGAATGAGAGACAAAGACTCTCCATCCTTGCTTCTAAGGAGCATTCTATCTATACTTCTTCCAAGACAGATTGGTTTGTTCTTCTGGCAGTCCACGGTATTTTCAGTATTCTTCGCCAACACTATAATTCAAATGCATTGATTGTTTTATTGTCATCATTCATTGTGCAACTTTCACATAAATACTATGTACAACTTTTTATGTGCAACTTTCACATATATACTATGGCTTGGGTCAGCTGCACCTTAATCCTCAAAGTGTGATCTTTGCACTTAAACGCTTTTGCAGCAGGTTTGCCTAATGCAATGCATCGTTTGATTTCTTGACTGATTCCATGAGTGTTGATTGTGGATCCAAGAGAAAGAAGTCTTGCAAATCTTCCCTAGGATGATACATTCACATGTCGTTGTTATGCTCCATTGAATCAGTTCCAGCTCATTGACTCAGTTCCAGCTCATAGCGATCCTGTATAGGGTTTCCTGTATAGGGTTACCAACCTTGTGATTAGCAGTCCAGTGCTTACCCTACAGCGCCACACCAGGACTCCAGTATATTTATATGTTGTTGTTGTTAAGTGCCGTCGAGTCGGTCCCAAGCCATAGCGACCCTGAACAGGGTTTCCTAGGCTGTAAATCTTTACAGGAGCAGAAAGCCTCATCTTTCTCCCGCAGAGCAGCTGGTAGATAGAACCTGTTTATTATTTATTGGAGCTTTTTTACTTACCTCATTTGATCATAGAACAATTTTGCAGATAGAAAGATTGGGTACTACTTTGTTTTTATTGTGATTGATTCACAATTTGATTTACTTGAGATTCACATAGCTAGTTTTGTCTTTCCAGTTTCAGTTAATATGAAACAGATTTTAGCTTGTTCAAGCAGCTGTGTACTGGCAATGATATTAATAGAATCTACTTCAATTCATTCGTGTTCTGGCAAGTATGTTTTAAAGTTAATATTTATGAGGTTTCCTTTTGTTGCCTTTGTAGTTTTGTTTTTGGAGGAGTTGTCTTAAGTTTTATGGCTGTAGCAATAATGGATGTCATCATATTTGTACTTGGGGCAGGTGACTGGCTACATTATTTCATTTACAGGTTTTAGACTATAATTATGGGAGATGGGAGATGCGAGATGCGATGTCTTTAAATTCATTATGTATTACAAATATTCCCATAAGATATTTTATATACCAAAAAGTGTGTCCTTTAAATTTCTGTTTTAGCTGCTCGTCTTACTTCCCTAAATTTTGTGAAACAGTTTTGGCATGTGCCTCTATTGTTTATTAAGTAGCCTGGAAACTTGAGAAATGGTTCTGAGCAGATTATTAACGTGACAATATAGTACTTTCCCAGATTTGTTCATGTTATTATTAAAGAAGGTTGAGATTATATATGTTGTTAATAAGTAAATTGAGGTGAATTTCTGTTTGCTAGGATTTGGCAAATTCTTAAGGATACTTTTTATATTGAATGTTAGTGTTACTGGTGTTAGGTACTTGGGCAAGTACCCAAAGCTGTTGTCTAGTGTTAAAGAAACTTTCAGTAATGGAATTAGCATTTTTTGCTTTCATTTTATTCCGCCCAAAATATGCTAAAACATCAGTATTGTATAAATTTAACATGTGAAATAGTTTTTGGAAATTATTTTCTTTTAGTTTCTAGAAGTCTTCATTATTTGAAAAATTAATTCAAATTGGCATCATCAATGCAAAGTTAGAATTGTGTTTTATTGTTAAAGATTATATTGAATTTTTTCTTTAAATCTCTTTGTCTTCTGCTCTTCAGAGGAAGTATCATTCTGCAAAGGAAGCTTACGAACAACTTTTACAAACAGAAAATCTTTCTGCACAAGTCAAAGCAACTGTCTTACAACAGCTAGGTAAGTAATAATAGACATTTAATATATTACACCTCAGGAGAAAGATGAGGCTTTCTGCTCCTGCAAAGATACAAAATAATTATTAAAGTATTTAAGTATTTGTTTTAAATGAGCCATATATAGTGTTTGAGGAACTTGAACTTGTATCTTTTCAAATAAAACAAGTTTATTAATACAGTTTTTAAAAGGGGGTTTGTGTTCATTTTTATGTAAAAAGAACAAGATGTCATTTAGAGTGGACATCTGACCACATTTAGTATAATCAGCAAAAATGTCTTTTAAGTTTAAAAAAATGAATGGGAATAAGTTTCATTTTAGCTGTTTCCATCTGTCCTATTTAGCCGTGGCTTCCCATATTTCAGATTATATAAGAAAACTTTAAATGGTTTTCAGAAGAAAAATACACCCCCTAATTATGTATAATTTATGCCTGTACATCAAGTCTCCCTGCCTGCTTGTCAGTGCTGCTTAAGCAGCTGCTTTTAGAACCAGTTACTCTAGGTCTTGTCCTTATTAGTAACAGCAGGAGAGATAGGGGAGGAACAGGAAAAATGAATAAGCGTGTGGTTGACTTGTCCGCCCATAAAACATGTTAGCTGAGTGTATCTCTCAGTTTTGGAGCATAGCTACTATAATAAATGTTAGAAAATAAGAGTCTTTGTTATAAATACTATGGGCTATATATGAAAAGGAGTTCTGATGTGTTATTGGTTAATGTGCTAAAACCACAATGTCAGTGGTTCAAGCTCACCAGTCACTCCTTGCAAACCCCTATACAGTGAAAAACAGAGTTAATTGTACACAGTTGAATAGTTCCATTTGAATCTGCTTTCCTCTTTTTGAAATTATTACTCACTTTATAGTTTCTGTTTTTTGTGTATTTAATATGTGAGTTTGTGTGGCCAATGCGTGTTAGTATACATGTTTTAATCTCAACTATCATTGATTATATATTGTTGTGAAGTGCCGTGGAGTTGGTTCCGACTCACTGACCATATATAGGGTTTCTGAGGAGTGACTGGTGGGTTTTAATCACCAAATTTGTGATTAGCAGTCCAGTATTTATCCTATAAATTCTGGTCACACCAGAACCCCATTTGATTTCAGTTATTTTAAATTTCACTTTTTATTTCTTCTATGACCCAGTAGTTTTTTTTTTAAGCAGTGTATTACATGTATTCCTCATTTACTAACATAGATTCCAAAGACCAGGCTATTATGCAAAATTGACATTTGTTGAGGAGGAAGAAGGCTTGGAAGCGGCCTTGGAGCTTAGAACCTGAGAACTGCTGTGCCCCTGGCAATCACTATGCCCAAGGGTCAAGACAGTTGGTGGGAGGTACTGCCTGTGTCCATGTTCCCCTACAGCCACCCCTTCCATAGTCCCTTCCACCTGCTGCTGCCCTATAGGCTGGAGAGGACCCCATGAAAACAATATAAAAATGTAAAATCACAGATAAATATTTTTAACCATTTGTTATAGGTTGGATGCATCATACTGTGGATCTCCTGGGAGATAAAGCCGCCAAGGAAAGCTATGCTATTCAATATCTCCAAAAGTCATTGGAAGCAGATCCTAATTCTGGACAGTCCTGGTATTTCCTCGGAAGGTGATTCTTATCAGATGCTTATGTTTTGCTTTTGTCAATTAAGTATTTAAATTATTTTCCTTTTGATTTCTAATCTTTTCTATATTTATTTAGCAGAACAAAGAATTGTTTAGTAGAACAGAGAATTATTTTCTCATTCTGCTTGATATAACTACCAGTAGCTAATGAAACCTTCCTAGTTATAATTTTGATTAACGATTTATACCTTATTTAACCATAGAATGGATGTATTTGAAAAATGGTTGGTGGTTGTGTGCCACCAAATTGATACCAATTCATAGCGACACTGTACAGGGTTTCCAAGACAATAAACCTTTCCAGGAGCAGAAAACTTCATCTTTTTCCTGTGGAGTGACTGGTAGATTCGAACTAGTTAGCAACTCAGCTCATAATCTGCTACACAGACCTTAAATCACAGTTCTACTTGAGCTCTAACATTTTGCAGCAGATTTTAATTTTGTTGGAAAGGAAAGTGACATATATTAAAATATCTGTTGTTTGAGGGAAAGTTGCAAGTATTGTTACAAGGATTCCAATTCACAAACGCCCTGGTTTATTCCAAGCAAAAGATGTTTTAACATGTCTCTGTGATCAGTGGATGGCTGCAGACAAATTCTCTCAGTAATACACTTGCCTTAGTCTCATTAGGGTGCCTTTAAAAAAACACACACACACATACCATTTGATTCCCTCAGAGAATGCCAAAACTTCTGTTTTTGCCATGGTATGAATGGAAAAACTCAGCATTCTTCAGGGAAGGAGTAACCCTTACATATACTGAATATCTGATATATACCATAACTGTATACAAGATAGATTATATTTTTAAATCGTCAGGTTTTTTTTTTTTTTTATTCCTAATTGTTTTAGCTTTCATGGTATGGTGGCAAGATCAATGTATGTATGAGGAGCTAACGGATTTGGATATAAGGACTAGTTGGGATAATATAGTTGAACTTCTTGAAGCTTCAGTTTTCTTTTTTCCTGTTATAAAGAGGAATCTATTAGATCAGTAAGGAGCTCTGGTAGTGTAGTGGTTACTAATTGGGCTACGAACCGCAAGGTCAGCAGTTAGAAACTACCAGTTGGTTCCGCGGGAGAAAGATGAGGCTTTCTGCTCCCGTAAAAATTAACAGCTTCAGAAACCCTGTACAGAGTCAGAACCAACTCCACAGCACATAACAACAATTTCATAAGTGGTTCTCAATAGAGGGTGCTTTTATACCTCACTTTCGTAATATCTGAAAACAATGTGGAATGTCACAGGTAGCAGGAATGTTACTGGCATATAGTGGGTAGAAGCGAGGGATGGTACTAATCGGCATACAATGCACAGGACAAGTCTTCACAACAAGCAATTATCTGGCCCCAAATATCAATTGTGCTGAGATTGAAAAACTCTCTGTTAGATGATTTTTTAGGTATCTTTCTACTCTCAAAGCTATTGATTTTATGTTTTATTTTTAAATCATTCATCTTGTTTTAATTGTAAGCTTTGTTCCTTTCATTTCTACATGTTGTTGTTAAGCGCTGTTGAGTCATATCTGACTCACAGCAACGCTGTATAGGCTTTCCAAGGAGTGGCTGTTGGGTTTGAACCATTGACCTTGAGGTTAGTAGTCCAGTTCTTATTCTACAGCACTACACCAGGACTCCTTGTATTTCTGTATAGGAATGTTTTATTTTGAATAGAATTGCTGTGTAATTAGTTTCTTGCACGGTATCATTTTTCCTTTAAATTTAGGAAAATAATAAGTTTGTGTGAGAGAATAACATTAAAATGTTTCCTCCTTTAAAAATATTTGAATACTCGTTAATAATGTACAATCAGATTTGACTGCAAAGGTGTCTGTTTTTGGCAAAAATTTTCTAATCCCTTTCCAGGCTTACACAATAGTCTAGTTGAGTTGTTCATTAATGGAATTTGAAAGTTCAAACTCTTGTCTTTATCTTTTACTTATGATGTTCAGGAGCAGGAACTGAGTCTTTAAATCTTTTCTATAATAATGACCATTCACTAATGGAAGAAATGAACTAAGTAAACACATTTGTATTTGGAGCTAGCACCATCACTGCTGTTAGTGTTACACAGTGTAAATCTCTATGGAGTGACTTTGAAGGAGGCCTAGAACCACAAGTCAAGCTGTTCAAAGTCACCACCCGCTCCTTGGAAACCTTGTACAGTGTCACTATGAGTTGGAACCAACTTGATGACACTTAACAACAACAAAGTACTTGGAAGGAAAGGGGTACCTAGTCACTGTTTCTAGTTTTCAAGATTATTATATATGAAAATGTCTTTTAATATAGATTAAAAGGAATTTATACCATGAAGCATTTTCTTTTTAAACTCCAGATGCAGATTGAAAGTTTAATATAATACTTGAAGTATAACTTTTTATCTTTCATATATCTCTTTTTAAAATTGTATTAAAAATTATTATGATGAAATATGTGTAAAATTAGTATTTTGAGTAATGCTTTTAAGTTTCTGCTTCAGTGAGGACAGCAGTATTTTGCAGGGGATTTTTCCCAGTTAACTGATTTTATTTCTAAACATTGACATGTATTTTATTTTAACCTTTTGGGGTAAATGGTTTTTAAATATAAACATGTTTCTTGACTCCTCATACAGGGCACTAATCACAATTTAACTTGTTCTTAGATTCAAGATTATCATTTTAGACATTTATTATTTTTCATCTATAATATAATTCTGTGTTATTAGACTTTTTTTCTTTGATTTTTTTGCTTTTCTTACTCTTTCATGCCTTTTTATGTGTTGTTTCTAATCTGTTTTATTGTGAGAAAATTATATTTTTATCAATTATTATAGTTATGAGTTTGATGGCCTCAAACTTTGGGATAAGTTACATTGTGATGCGGTAATGTAGTTATATTGTCACCAGTCATCAACTGTTGATATCTCAGGCTCATAGAATTGTTTCAGCTACAAGGGACCAGAGTAGTCATGTAGTTCACCATGCAAGCTCAAGTGTAGAAAATGGGTCCAAAGAACTGAAGTGTTTTGTCAAAAGTCAAATTTGTTGTTGTTAAGTGCTGTTGAGTCGGTTCTGACTCATTACAACCCAGTATAGGGTTTCCAAGTAGCGACTGTTGGGTTGAACTGCCCTTGTGGTTCAAATTGACTTTGTGGTCCAGTGCTTATCCTACAGGACCACATCATAGGTAATCAACATTATAGCAACAACTAGAACCCAGGCTTAAGGAGCTCTGGTAGTGTAGTGGTTACGAATCAGGCTTCTAACCTCAGGGTCAGCAGTTTGAAACTACCAGCAGTTCCACAGAAGAAAGGTGAGGCTTTCTGCTCCCTTAAAGATTTACAGCCTCAGAAACCCTATGCAGGGTCTCCATGAGTCAGCATATAACTATCACCAGATCCCAGGCTTACCCAGTGCTTATTCTATTAACTAGGCTCTCTGGGATGAACCTATATATAAATTTAATTAGGGAAAGTAGTTGGTGGTTAGACTAGGACATATGTAATTGGGGACATTGGCTTCCTACTTTCACTTCATAGGAATGAATTTGCAAACATTGGTTTTGGAAAGTACTGCTTATTTCTTTCTGTAGATATTGCCTGTCCATAACTTGTATTTTCGTGTGTTTTACATATTGTTAGAAAATAGGTTTTCCTAAAATGTACTTACATACTAGGTTTCCAACAGGTTCATTTGGGTTCTATCCCCTGCTGAGAATTTGTATTCGTAATTCACCTATATTGAATATCTAAATTTACATTTTAATAAGTTCCCCAGATGATTCATATATATGCTGCTTTGTGCTATTGAGCTGTTTCTGATTCATAGTGTCCCTTTATAGGGTTTCTGAGGCTGTAAATCTTTATGGGAGCAGAAAGTCTCATCTTTCTCCCATGAGAACCACTGGTGATTTCGAACTGCTGACATCGCAGTTAACAGCCCAATCTGTTGCACTACCCCACCAGGGCTCCATATGTATGAAATATTGCACTCATCCTATTTTATGTCCTACTGTACATATGTTTACATGTGTATATATAGGAACCACCTGGGGAGCTTGTTAAAATTTAGATTTGGGGTTGGAAAATGCATGTTAGTATATCTGAGGTCAAAATGCAAATTATCAGTAGGGGTCGACCCCAAATGTACTCATTTGAAGTCCTAACTTTAATCTTGCCGACCAATTTTGTTACAATAAACTTAAGGCGGACTTTTATTCTATGTTGTTTTATATATAGTAATTTTTTTCATGCTATTCAAAGCTATTTGAAATGCTTTCACTCATATTCTCTGCCCAAATCAGTGGTTCCCAGATTTTTGAATTACAGGAACCAGTAAAAGTGTAAAGAATAATTATGAAGACTAAAATAAGATGTTTAGACAAGTAAAGACATCTTAACACTTTTTGCTGCTTACTGCAAGTTAACAGCATTCCAAAATTAAAGAATTGCAATACAATATGAATGAATTCAATTGAAAAACTTTATGTATATGTTTTATTTTATTGTGAAAATATGCGTGACAAAACATATACCACCTGAACAATTTCTACATGTACAGTTGAGTGATACCGATTACATTCTTCAAGTTATGCAGTCATTCTAATTCTTTTCCAAATCATTCCACTACCATTGTGTGATTTTGTTGTCATTGTTTGCTTGGTAAAATTGTCATACACTGGCTGGCAAGTGGGAATCACTTAGCTAGATCATATACATCTATGCATAATCAATTTCCTTTCTTTTACACTTTTTTGACTTTGCTAAATTCTACTGTACAGAATAGTCTTTTTCCAGTGCTGTAGGATCAGGTTTACAAACAAGGTCTGTGGTTCAAACCCACCAGCTGCTCCATGGGAATCCTATACATGGTAGCTATAAATCAAAATCGACTTGACGGCACTTACCAACAACAACCCTAATCTCTGAAACCACTTATTGTCTGTACTCAACCATTTGTTACTTGTTTATAGCATTTATAATAATGTCTTCAATCCTCAATTTAATTGTAACTTCCTTGAAGATGAGACTGTACTTTTGGTTATGTCTTTTTTGCTAAGAATATAATTTCAGAATTTTATAATTTTACCAGTTATTCTGTTATCTGTGAAGGCGGTCCTTAAAACTTTATCCTACTTTTCTACTGTTACTAGCCATAAAATACTGCACTTATCCTATTTTATATTATTTTCAGTAGTTAGTTAAATATTTAACTATTTCCTTGACTTGTATTTTATTGTGAATTAATGAATTAGTGTTTTTATTGTTGCTATTTAGAAAAGAAGAATTGACATCTGTTTCAGTACATATTACAAATTGTATTAGTACCCTAAGTGTATATGAACATACATTTATGTATGGTCGACAAGTTTATATGAACATACAATTTATTGTTTTAAAGTACTGGACTGAGAGTCCACGATCAGGGTGTCAGTCATGTTAATTTCTTCTGAGGCTATGAGGGAGAATCTATTCTGTGCCTTTGCCTAGCTTTTGGTAGTTCCAGGCATTTTTTTAGCTTGCAACTGCAACATATTTCTGTCTTTCTTATCTGTTTCTCTTTTATAAGGACACCAGTCATATAGCATTAGGAACTACCAGACTACAGTAAAAGCTAACTGATAACATCATCAAAGATCCTATTTTTTTAACAACTTCACATTCACAACTACAGGATTAAGACTTTGTTATATCTTTTAGGAAGAATATAATTCAGTCTGTAACACCAACATATGGTGTTTTGTTTTGTTTTAATTCTATGGTCTTCATATGTAAGAAATCAGAGATCAAGCTATGTAAATAGACTGGTGTATGTGTTCAAGTCAATATTATAATAGTGAAGTGATAGGGACTCTTTAAAAAGTTTATTAACGTAGCATGCTTTAGCGCCTATGACAGACAGACTATAATATAGTTTATTTTAGGGCTACTTAGATAAATAGCTTGAGAGGGACATGTTTGGTACATGCTTGGTAAAGTGTAGGGTCAGCGAAAACTAGGAAAACCCTCAAATTAAATGGAATGACACAATCTCAAATAATGGGTTCAGGCATATCAAAGATGAAGAGATGTCATAGGACTGGGCAAGATGTCATTCTGTTATACATAAGGTCCCCATGAGTGGGAGCCTACTGGAAGACAACTAATAACAAAATTATAGTGTATGTTATTATTTAACATGTACAAATATATTAGCTTTTAATACTTGTGAGTTTTTATGTTTTACTTTGTGTGGGTTTTTTTTTTTTTTTTTTTTTTGCACTGTGATATTCCAATATTCCATCCTTTTATCAAACAAATTACATCAATTTCAGTAGTAATGGAATTTTCTTGATTTTTTTTTTTTTTTCTCTTCCCCTCCCCCCCTCCCCCCCCTTCAGGTGCTATTCAAGTATTGGGAAAGTTCAGGATGCCTTTATATCTTACAGGCAGTCTATTGATAAATCAGAAGCAAGTGCAGATACATGGTGTTCAATAGGGTAAGACTTTGTATAATAAAATGGTATTATAATTAATACACAGATGATTACATCACATACAAAGTAATATGTTATAAAACTGCACAGTTCTTCATAGTCAACTTATTTTTCTTAAATTCTCATTCCAGTGTGCTCTATCAGCAGCAAAATCAACCAATGGATGCTTTACAGGCTTATATTTGTGCTGTACAATTAGACCATGGCCATGCTGCAGCCTGGATGGACCTTGGCACTCTCTATGAATCCTGCAACCAGCCTCAGGATGCCATTAAATGCTACTTAAATGCTACGAGAAGCAAAAATTGTAGTAATACCTCTGCACTTGCAGCACGGATTAAGTATTTACAGGTAAAATTTTAAGATAGACATGTTTTACAGGCACATGCTTCCCCATAACATTCAGGCAGGAGGAGGGTGGCTGGAAAGTTTGTCTAGTTGTCTTTGATGTCTATAATTTGTTTCCATATTTTGTAAGCATACCATAGCTTGTAATATTCTTTTTCTTTTCATTTTACTTAAGATATGCCAAATTTAAAAGATGCTCTTTTGCACATTTACTCTGTTGATGCATATTAATTTACATATTTTTTTCTATGTACTGTCTACATTTTTAAGTTGTCATAGCATTTTAGAAAAAAGAACACAAACACTGTCTTTCACTCTTGCTTGAAGTTTCATGAGGAGAAGACAGCTATGAGACTCTGAAAACAGAGCTCAAATTTGTTCTGATTCTCACAAAGGTTTATGTTCTGGTTACCCTTTTTATACTTAGTGTCTTTCTAAAACCCCAAATTTAGACTCTCTTATCTTTTAAAAGCAATTAGCTATAGCATTTAGGAAGATTTAGTGGACTTGCTCTTACTCAAATAGGCTTGTGTTAAATTTGCTTTTTACATAATTTTTCCTAGGCTCAGTTGTGTAACCTTCCACAAGGTAGTCTACAGAATAAAACTAAATTACTTCCTAGTATTGAGGAGGCATGGAGCCTACCAATCCCCGCAGAGCTTACCTCCAGGCAGGGTGCCATGAACACAGCACAGCAGGTGAGAAGTTGGGTTATGTTCTGCAGGTGCCCAGCTTTAAGGGTTCTTTTCGATCTGTAGTGGTCAAGCTTATTTTACTAAGCCCAAGAGGCTTTTATTAATGAAAAGCCTTTTGATGTGATTGCAAAGGGATTCTAGATCAAAATAAAACTCCCTCCGATATGGGAAGAAATTTTGGGGTACCAACTTAGAACCTTTGTGGATTTTCATGATTTTGGAAGAGATTTCTTTAAAATAAAATGCTTCAGTGGCTTAATTTTGAAAGCAACTTTTTCAAAGGAAGGTACACATTCCTCCATTGATGATTCATTTGATTTTGATTTTTAGTAGTTGCAATCAGCAATGTCCACATAGTTTTTGAAAGTATGCAGCTTGTAAAGTTTTATGATTTGAAGGAATGAATTAAGAATATATAGAACCCTATTTTTGTCTTCCTTCTGTGATTCTTAGGCATGTAAACCTCATCATCCAAATACTGAACCTGTATTAGGCCTCAGTCAAACACCAATTTCACAGCAATCCTTGCCACTACACATGATTCCTTCTAGCCAAGTAGATGACCTGTCCAGTCCTGCCAAGAGGAAAAGAACATCTAGTCCAACAAAGGTATATATTTTAGAGAAATAGAGCATTCCAATCAAAAACCAAGCTTCAACTGCCCTGAAATTGTGCAGTTTGAACATCTCCTATCCTTTTATTTAAATCTGTGGACATCAAAGAGTGAAAGGTTTGAGTTTTTCCATCCCAGACTCTTAGCATCATATTAAATATAAAAGGTGGAGGTAAATTTGCATTCATCAAAATCATTTTATTCATCTCCCTGCTGTTAAGATTTCAGTACACTTTTCATTATCACTTTCTCCTGACATTAAAATAAATTGAATGTTGAAACTAGTGGACAGTATGATTTTTAGGTTAGCCATTTGGGCCACAGCTTAGGGGTGGGCCTTTTTGGGTGGCTTATTACAATTTCAGTACATTTTTTATTTATAATTTTCTGAGTTTAATATGCATGTTAAATTATTTTAAATTACTTTTTAAAGCAATTTAATGTTAAAACATTCATTTTATATATAAATATTCTAATTCATAGTCATTTGACCTCAATTGGTCATTATTGTTAATCTCTTATGAACTTTAACCAAATATTCTTTAATTTTCTTATCAATTTTCCTCAGAATACTTCTGATAATTGGAGTAGTGGCCATGCTGTGTCACATCCTCCAGTACAGCAACAAGCTCATTCATGGTGTTTGACACCACAGAAATTGCAGGTATGTATGATAATATGCTTTTAACAGATTGTTTATTCTATTAAAAAGGAGCAGAGGTAAATTTTTAACTTTCTTGAGTATTTGTCTTTGAAGCTGAATGGCAGTAAATCAGTTAATATCCACATAAGTAAAATGAGCCCACATTTATCAGAGCAAGAAAAATTCATTTTTGTTTTTTACTTTTTTAAAGAGTTAATACATTCACATGGTTCAAAATGTAAAGTATGAACTTTGGGTAAATAGGGTGTAGTCTCCTTCCAACTCCTGCCCCTACCCATTCAATGTTCTTCCTAACAGACAGCCAGTGCTATTAGTTTCTTAAGTACCTTTTGAGAGACCTGTTGTGTATGTGTAAGCAAATATGCACCATACTTCTTTCAATTATTTTCCTGTTTTACACACAAGTGGTAGAATGCTATATTTACTGTTAACAATTCATCTTACATACCTTTTCATATCAGTATATACAGAACTTCCTTGTTCTTTTATAGCTATATCATATTTCTTTACATAGGCGCTGTGTTTTCATTTAACCAATTTCTTAATTTTGGACTTTCAGGTTGTTTTCAAAGTGTGCTGCTTTGAGCATGCTTTTCATGATGCATTTTTAAGCTTTAAGGCTTTCTATGTGAAAAATAGTTTTTTTTGTTTTTTTTTTAATTAATGAGTAAAATTTTATGCCCATTTTATCTCAAAGATCGCGTTGCAGTAAACTTCTTCAGATGTATGTTTAGTTCTTTCTTGCTTTCCTCAGAATCGTTAAAGGACTTCTTCTTGGAGCTGATTACTCTAGGTCAGGAATTCGTGTTTTTGACCAGACAGAGGTTCCTTATCCAGCTGCATCAGGAAAAGGTTGCTTGGAGTCGAGAGCTTGTTTCTTAGCTGTGTCTTTGACTATATTCTCCATTTTTCTTCTTCTAGCACTTGGAACAGCTTCATTCAAATAGAAAAAATTTCATTCCAGCTCAGAAACTGATGCTGGAACAGCTGGAAAGTCAGTTTGTCTTTATGCAGCAACACCATGTGTATATATAGCTTTTTTTCCCCCTAAAATTTGTTAGCAATTTGAATATTTTATTTATTAAGTGGCACATCATTTTAGAGTATATTCCTGTCCACTTTTGCTTTCTACCTTTATTTGGTGGAATTTAATAATTTATGATTCTTAAAATACTAGTAATGGACAGAAAGTTAAAAAAAAAAAAAAAAAAAACACTGTAAATTTGATTTTGAACATCACACTTGGTATTTTATTATTGCATACTATTCCACATGTACTCTAAGGTTTTATTTGCATTATTTAATACTTAACAAGCTATTCTAAACCAAGGCAAGGTTTCTGTTGTTTGTTTTAATTTGGAGGCTCTGGCATAAGTGTAATAATGAAATTGAAATCCCATTTTTTGATGGGATAAAGACCTATAACATCCTGATTTTTTTTTTTTTCATTATTTTCAGCTACTTCATTATTATTAAAATGGTATTTCTTTAAACTGTCAAACAGATTTCTGCTTTTCCCTAGAAGCTTATCTAAAAATGAACAGACACAATTATCTTATTTTTATGTGTGTAGTTTCCAACCTAGAGAAATTAAATGTTAGGCTAAAATCAGAGATTCCCTGATTCTACATTCTATTCTGATTCTCTTTCCTATCGACCACATAAGCAGCATTTACTTTTCGTTTGTTTTCTGTAGATGAGACAAACAGGAGTTGCACAGGTACGATCTACTGGAATTCCTAATGGGCCAACAACTGACTCATCACTGCCTATAAACTCTGTCTCTGGCCAGCAGCCTCAGCTTGCTCTGACCAGAGTGCCTAGTGTCTCTCAACCTGGAATCCGCCCTGCTTGCCCTGGGCAACCTTTGGCCAATGGACCCTTTTCTGCAGGCCACATTCCCTGTAACACATCCAGAACACTGGGGAGTACAGACACTATTTTGATAGGCAATAATCACATAACAGGAAGTGGAAGTAATGGAAACGTGCCTTACCTGCAGCGAAACGCACTCACTCTACCTCATAACCGCACAAACCTGACCAGCAGCGCAGAGGAGCCGTGGAAAAACCAACTATCTAACTCCACTCAGGTAATAGAAAGACTAGTTGCCTTATTGGCTTTTTCCATTATGTTGTTGTTGTTGCTGCTAAGTGCCATTGAGTCAGTTCCGACTCATAGTGACCCTGTATAGAGTTTCTGAGGAACGACTAGTGGGTTTAAACTGCTGACCTTGTGAGTAGCAGTACAGTGCTTATTCTACATGCCACTTCAGGACTCCTTTCCCATTATAATTTGTCTTAATTTTGTCTGGGCATTTTGAGAGAAGAAGAAATAAAAGTTTGAGGAATCGTTTGTTTTTATAAGAATTTTATGCATACTGCAAACTGTTGCTACATTGTGATTCAATATATTTGTATGTATATATGGGTATACATGCATACACATGAGGAGGGGCTTTAAAAAAATTCATGTAAAAATTCATTTTCTTTTAATTCTATTTTCCATGAACTTTCTGAAGTTCCCTCATGAAAGAGAAAGAGTGTTTGTATGTATGTGTGTGTACAATAGTGTTGTTTCCTTTTCCTCTGTAAAATTTACACAGAGAAAGAGAAAATTTTGAAAAATCTGTAAAGGAAGAAGAAAATAAATTGTAACATTCTCAATGCCCCTTTATAAAAGTGTCATCATAAGCACAATTATGTAATGTTACTTAATTTCTGCCTATTTAAGGTCAGGTATTTAATAACAACAACAAGATCAGATATTAATTTTGTTGTTGTTAAAGTGCTGTTGAGTAGATTCCAACTCCTAAGGAACTGGTACAGAGTTTCCAAAGAATAGATTGTAGATTTAAACTGTCAACTTTGTGATTAGTAGTCCAGTTCTTATCCTACAACCACACCAAGACTAAGTTCTAGTTATTCACTCAAGTAGAAACAAAAGACCATTTGTTAAAAGGTACCATAAATTACTACAAAGTATAACTTCAGTGGAAAAATACTAGAAGGGCCTAACCAAGATGTTCGAGTTACCAGAAACTAGAGAATTTGGAGAGGGAGAAAGCCAGTAAATTGTTTATTGAGTACAGAATGACGGTGAAAGGGTGAAAAAAGAAGCTTAAGGAGGTAAGAAAGAGCCTAATTTGTTTTGAAGGCAATTAGAACCACTAAAAATTTTGAAAAACAGGATTGGCTTTTATAAACATTGTTGATATGTTCCATGGAGTCGGTTCCAACTCATAGCGACCCTGTACAGGTTTCCAAGGCTGTAAATCTTTACAGGAGCAGAAAGCCTCATCTTTTTCCTGCTGGTAGTTTTAAACTGCTGACCCTGCGGTTCATAGCCCGATTCGTAACCACTACCCTACCGGAGCTCCTTTTATGAACATTGTTGTTGTTGTTGTTGTTAAGTGCCATCGAGTCGGTTCCGAAAAAATTACATGCCATATTAAATTCAGTTGTTACACTGTTTTTAGACATTTAACATCTAAGCTAATTATTCTTCTGTGAATATGTGCGTACTTTTGTTTAGATTTTGAAAACTTTTTTTTTTTTTTTAATGTATTATTTCCATGGGGTGGATATTCAGAAGTGGAGATGAATGGTCAAAAAAGTAAACATTTTTAAAAGTTCTCAGAAAATATTCCCAAATCATTTTTATTGGTCTGTTGTAAAAATATTTGACTTATTGCTGGTTCGCATTGAATCATGGGTAAAATAGGTAAGTTCTATTTCTAAGACTTAAATTACTCTTTAAATACTAGCTTTGGTGAGATCATCATCATATCTAAATAGTTTATTCATTCTTAAAGAAAGACTGAGCGCCCACTATTCAAAGAGACTTCAAAAAGTTCTTGGAAAAAGTCCACTACTTCTTAATTCTGTTTGTCCATGAAGTTTTTTTCAAACTTGTTTACATGTCCTATTAGAGGCTCTGGGGGTATATTAGCATAAAAAATGTTCTTACTTGGTATAAGTAAGCAGATAATTAGCATATAAGCAATATTTATAGATTTTGATGATGTGGTTAGTGCTGTGGAATAAAGGGCATTACAAAAGGAAAGTTGTACTAATATGAAGATGGAAACAGAGTAGCTAACCTTGATCAGTCATGTATTTTATTGTAAAAACATCAGATTTTACTGTGAATTAAATGGAAAATTATAGGTGGGTTATTAATGGACGAATGGCATAGTTTTTCATTTAGTCCTTTCTGGTATTCTCTTGATAGACTGTTAGGTGGCAACGGTGTAAATGGAATGATCTGGAGATTATTGCTGTAATCTAGGTTCAGAGATGGTAGAGGCTAGACCCAGAGTGGCAGCTGTAGAACTGGTCAGCTTCTGGGTATATTTTGAAAGTAGAACTAACAAGGGAGTTCTGGTGTGGTGCTGTAGGATAAGCACTGGGCTGCTAACTGCAAGGTCAGTGGTTCCTTAGAAACTATACAGGGTCGCTATGAGTTAGAACCAACTGGACAACACTTAACACAGCAGAATTAACAGGATTAACTGAAAGGATTGCACTGTAAGAAAGAAGAGTGAAAGCTAACCAGGCCAACTGGAAACACCAATAAGACCAGATGATACTACCAAGGGGTGAGAATAGAGAAAACAAGCAAACTGAGGACTGACTTTTGAGGCATTCCATGTAATAGGTTGGAAAATTGAAGAATTTGCAAAGAAGATTAGAAGAGGAGCGCCCTGAGAGGTAGGAGGACATTCAGGAGACTGTGAGTGATGTCCTGGAAGCCAATTGAAGAGAGTCTGTCAAGAAGGGTGTGATCAAAGTATGTATCAAATGCTGATAATCAAGTAAGGTGAGGACTGGGAATTGACCATCTGAGACATTTGGTGACATTGCAGTTAAAAGCAGTTTTTTTCCTTTTAAAAAGGACTGTTTAATGAAAAAACGAAGACTGCATGACAGACTGTATGAGATATTTACTACCGTACCCTTTATAGAAAATAATTACTGACCTTTGAATAAATGCAATTTCAGTGGATTGGTAGGAACAAATGTCTAATTAATTGCAGTTTCCTTCAGGATAAAATGAGAAGAGAGAACTTGGAAGCACACTGCTTAATTCCATTGGGTGCCATTCCCATAGACCATGATATAAGTGGAAAGGAGAGAACAAGATGGTAGCTGAAGAGCAAATGTAATTAATAGTGGTTTTTTTTTGTTTGTTTGTTTTTTGTTTTTAATTTGATAATGGTGGTATAAATAACAGTGGAAGTTAATGGAAAGATTGAGTAAAGGGGGATCCATTTACACAGGAGAAAGGAGTGCAATGCTAGAGTAGTAGGTAAGAGAGGATGAGATTTTTGTGCTTCAGTGTCTTTGAATATGAAAGCATTGTTGAAAGGATAATGGAAGATTTTTGTTGCAGTACCAATTACATTGTTAAAGTTTCAATTTGTAGTTAATAGTGAGAGCCTTTGTTATGATTGTAAAGTATGGTATCTATTATTTTCTTCTTTATCACATCTAATTCCCTGGCTCCCTTAATTGCTGACATTTTCAGTAAATACTCTTGTAATTTCAGTTTGGAAATTTGCTGTCCATGTAAAACATAATTCTAGCAAAAGAACCCTCAGTTTACAGGCCACAAGGTCTCTGTATTATAATGAAATGTGAAAAGACTTGTAGTTAGAAAACCAAAAGTGAAGAACACACTAGGGATTTCTCAAGCTGAAAAAACTGAAGAAAAAATTCAAGCCTCAAGTTGAAATATTGAGGACTTCCATGGACAAAATAATTGAAATATGCAGGAAGCATCTAAGAAGATGGAAAGGATACAAAGAGTCACTATACCAAAAAGAATTGGTTGATGTTGAACCATTTCATTAGGTAGCATATGATTAAGAACCGATGGTCTTGAAAGAAGTTCAAGCATTGACTAAAGGGCAGACATGTTAACTGGAGTGACAGAGAAGACAGTATACAATGAGGGAGGTTGACAGAAGAATGATGAAGGCAGGGAGAAGACACAGGGAGGAATGCAAGAGTTAAAAGGAGTAAGGTAAATACAGTTATATAAACAATCTGCAATAGCAGTGATCTACAGGTAGATACATGAATAGATACAGGCTAAATGGGTGTGGGAAGGAGAGTGAGAGTATACCCACAAATATATAAAGATTTGACAGGTTATTTATACATGGGCATTTATTTTTGCTGCAAACATTACATGAATTTGGTGGTGCATACAGGGGGCAAAATTGTAAAAATTTCATAGACATTACCAAACACCTTGAGGGAATGATGTGTTGGGCTTGTGGGGTTCAGAACCATAGTCTCGCAGGACATTGTGGTCAGTTGGCATAACATAGTGGTAGTAAAGGGAGAAGTCCAAGATGCTCTGAAGGCAATAGTGGAAAACAAGACTCCAGGAATTGAAGGAATGCCAGTTGAGGTGTTTGAAAAATTTATTGTATCTCTGGAAGCACTCACTCATGTATGCCAAGAAATTTTAGAAGATAGTTACATCGCCACCCGACTAGAAAATATCCATATTTGTTCGCATTCCAAAGAAAGGTGATCCAACAATGCAGAAATTATTGAACAGTGTCACATGTGAGTAAAATTTTGCTGAAGATTATTTAAAAATGGTTGCAGATGTACATTAACAGGAAACTACCAGAAATTCAAGCCGGATTCAGGGGTGGAATGAGTGATGTCAGATCGATCTTGGTTGAAAACAGAATACCAGAAATATGTTTACCTGTGTTTTATTGACTTTGCAAAGGCATTAGACTGGATCATAACAAATTGTGAATAATGTTGCAAAGAATGGGAATTCCAAAACACATAATTGTGCTCATGTGGAACTTGTACATAGACTTTCGAATACAGAAAAGAAATTCTGCATGCTTTAAAATCAGGAAAGGTGTGCATCAGGGTTGTATCCTTCTATCATACTTATTCAATCTATATGGTGAGTAAATAATCCAAGAAACTGGACTAGGGAAGGCTTGGAGGTGGGAGGTTTATTAATAATCTGCGATATGCATGACAAAACTTTGCTTGCTAAAAGTGAAGAGACCTTCAAGTAGTTACTGATGAAGATCAGTATGGATTAAACCTC